GGGCTCCGTGCTTGAGATCGTAGCGGTGGTGAACCAGTAGCTCCCCTAGAAACGTCTGCAGCAGTGTGAACAAAGTGCTCCATAGACAAGCAATCCAGGCTGCAAACAGGATAATGTTAAATGCAAAACAGAAAAAGGCATTAGGTGCTTAATAAGTTTTTTTTTGTATTGGATGCAACATCATTAATACAGATAGCTGATAATAATATAACCATACCTTTGTTATGGAACATCGCCATAATAAGTGCAAGCATAATCATCACGGACACGTAGGCAAGCAGGATAACGAGAGCATAGAGGAGGTGGATCCAGCGGAAGATGAGGATAAGAGTCAAGGCACCGAGCACGCAGATAGGCAGCACTGTCAGGTAAGCGTAGACCAGCCACGCTATGTACAGCGTTGAGAAGTCCACGTTGCGCATTCTTACAGCTCTCTGAAAGAAAAAGCATGGTCATTGGCTCTTGCAGTGGGTAGAGCCAAATTTTTCAATCGTCAGATATCTTTTAACTGAAGAATAGCCTTGTCATTTTGAAATATTTTGTTCCCATACTGAAACTGTGAATGTGCCAAACTTATTCTTCAGTTAAAAGTTATCCGACGATTGAAAAATCAGCCCATAATGCTATAATCCCTTTGCTACTTAATTTTTAGTATGCAACTACTTTCTTAGCATTCACGCAATCACGAAATTAATTCTGTCATCGTTGCATTGTCTAAAGGAGCTTTGGGCTAATAGGTTCCTAGCACCATGCCCAAGTGGGAAGCATCTAAAATTTTGTAATTACTTTCTGACTTGTAAATACTTGAATCAACTGTCTGTAGTTGAGTTTGGAGGATTACCTTGAATCGACTATGTGTCTCCTGGACCACTAACGCTTGGGTCTCAATGACAGGTGGTATGAGCGCCAGGGTCAGACACAGCAATATGCCAGATATGGCACGCCGGACCTGGTTCTCCTGCATCAGTGGAGAAACTGGCATTGACACCAGGCTTAGCTGAAAAAAAACTCTAGTCTTATTTTACTATAACTCTACGTACGGAGAAATTATTTACGTTTTATCATAATAATGTAAAATATTAACTTACCGGTCCGATAACATTTACATAGGTATTTTGATAACTTATTTAGTCAATGTTATCAAAATGGGATGAATTGCTGTTACGTCTAAGTATGTATTTTATTTCATACCTATTGTTGTACATAATAATTGATTGGTTTTAGTGAAAATTGCCCCGATCTTTTATTAAACCACTAGCTGACCCGGCGAACTTCGTACCGCCTTAGCGTAGAGATTTTCTTAATATTTTTTTCCGTAAGAACCATCCTTGGACTTCCACAAACATTTAAAAAAAAGAATTATCGAAATCGGTTCAGCCGTTCACACGTGATGCCGTGACAACGCGAAACGGGTTTCATTTTTATATATATAGATTATCAGCCGAAATAGCTCAGTTGGGAGAGCGTTAGACTGAAGATCTAAAGGTCCCTGGTTCAATCCCGGGTTTCGGCATTTTTTTAAATAATTTTGTTTATAGGCATCCTTTTTGCCTTTAGTAGGTAATAGTACCAATGTGTAATTTATGTACAACAGTAACTAAATGGACTTGGGAAAAGTCAACAGTTTCTTAAGGAATATTACTTACCTATGTAAAAAGAAACTCATATCTCAGCTATTTAGTATGCTATAAACGCACGAAACGCAAAAAATGCACATGATCAAATAAAAATAAATATTACCACCATTACAAATAAGTATTTAAATAACCTTCAGCTTAATATTTAGCAAAATATTATATTTGAAAGCTGCCGAAACCCGGGATTGAACCGGGGACCTTTAGATCTTCAGTCTAACGCTCTCCCAACTGAGCTATTTCGGCTGGTATTGAACTTTCATAATTTGTATGTGACTATGAATTTAACTTTGGATGTTGGCTTATCGCCATAAGTAAGATAACCAATCATTCAAGAATCACATAAACTGAAAACAGAAACTATGCATGCACTAATTGTACAGTGTAGACTCTTGCGACTTTTTTAAATAACCAAGTGGCTCTACACAACAATATCTAGAATTCTCTCTCTCTCTCTACATTTCTTGTTTGGTACAACCATAAACTTTGAATCTGTGAGAAGTAAAAACCCATTATACCTATGTATGCAAGCCTACAGTACTGGAGTTCAAGTGGAATGTACTTATAAGCATATAACAAGCCGTCTAACTAGAGATGTGAGGTACTTCTAACTAGGCGTACCTCATAGTTAGGAAGACTAGAGCTTGCATACTCCAGGATGGCCTGGCTGACGGCCAGTTGTACTGCGAGGAAACCCGCGCGCAAGTGTGGATTGGGATGCACGCTGGTATCTGAACTAGTAGCGTAGCGAGCTCTCTCGGTACTGCGGATACTGAATTTCCACATGTTACCATCCTGTAAGAAACATGCTGCATGTCATGGTAGCAATAACGTTACAATGACAACTGACCTCTTGGAATTAACATTATGAGGTCGGGAAAAGTTGTTAGTAATAGCTGTACCACTAATAAAAGAATATGCCTGTTGGGCGGTACCTAATTAAGGGTTAAAAGAGTTTCACTACGTAGTTGTTGAGAAAGCTTGTACTTAAAACACTTGTATGGCATCACAAACTTACTGCCTCCTTTTGCGAGACTAGTCTTTTGACTAAAAGCAAAGATCGCAGGACTGAAAATTAAAAACTATATTACACCTTTGGCTTCCAAATGACCCATATGACTGGGTTAGTTAGCGGTGATCCCATAGAACGGTTTAAATATAACATGTTATTTAAATCATCCTCCGTTTCTGCAGACATTATTTCTGAAAATAAATACACACAGTTGAAGTATCGTTGTTTAGAATGATTTAAATACTTTATTTTTTGCGTGCGAATTGTTGGCTATTTACCCGGATTGCCTTTACATCAGGAAAGCCGCTTTTTAATAAAGTCGGAGAGAAGAGCGTGAGAATAGAAAAGAAAAAGATTTTGAAATTTCTTGGTTAAATATCTATTAGTGAATAAGTCCCAACATTACTTTTGACCACATGATGTGATGACGTAGCATGATACAGTGAAGACCTAATAAATTTTATTTATTTATTTTATTTTATTTGTAAAATAAAACCTCACCTGTTTGTAACAACTCAGCAGCTCTGGTCATAATGGTCACAAAAGGCGGAGTGTTAGGCGCATACCCCACCAAGTTCTTGGAGTGCAGCGATGCTAACAAATCAGCTGATGCTAATGGGGGCTCAGGTTCTGTCTGGAGGGGCGTCAGGAATACTGGCTTGGCTATGAACACCGCTATGAGGAGTAAGATGAAGGCAAACAACGTCTCTGCTAGGAGTATGGGCCATCGCCTCCTAAAATATAGGTACATTTTGTTTGTACTATACTAGTAAATAAACCTGAAGAGTTTTTTTTTGGGATAATCTCTGGAACTACTGGTCCGATTCAATAGCCCATTTATCGAGGAAAGCTTTAGGCTATTTAACATCACCCTACAGCCAATAGGGGCAGAGTAGTAAAGAAAAATGTGCCAAAAACGAGAAATTATTATTGAAACTATTTTCACACGTCACACCATTGCGTCACACACAGTCACGGTCATAGCTAGTTGTAAGATTAAAAATTGCATGTACACATACTCGTACGTACCTACGTGTGATTCGATTTATTATAATATTCCATATTTTATTTATTTAACAATCTTATTCACAAAATATTATTACAAGTAGAAACTTACTGTCTTTGTAAGTAACATTTCCACGTAAGAACGTTTATGTGACGCTGAAATTTACTCCGTATTGGCTTTTTCTCCTCAACGCCTTTCTTTTCTTCTTCGGTAAATATTCTAGTTATATCCATTTTATCAATTAAAAATCATCAGTTTCAATTAAAACGATCAGACGCCAAAAATGGCGCCATTTTCATGACACTTGACAATAGTTTTTTTATTTAATCTTTTTGAAAAAAGGTTTTATTTCAGACAGATCATTAAAAAGTATTTATAACAAAATCATCAATATTGTGGCCTGTTTTCTGTAATATTAGGCCTGACCACAGAATAATAATACCTGACTATAAACATGTAAATAGAGGAATTAAGTAGGTACTGCAGCTATACAGAATGGTTTCGTGGAAAATAACGAAACCGAAGTAATGTAGGTAAATGTTTTTCTCTGCAATTTACAGAGATAAATAAATGATATTTACCAAATGTTTCAACAAAGTGCTGATTTTCAGTCTCACAATAGTGTCTCTAGAAACATAGCAATCCAAAAAGAGGTTTTCAGCGCCTTTATTATCTGGTATACTTAATGTTCATGTTTGTTTATCATAGGGATCACGATACGATATTTTTGAGTCGCTATTAGCTAATCAATTCGCTTAATATAAACGAAGTGAACTCACTATCAAGATGTTAATTTAAACGGCAAACATTGGTTTTGCTGTCCGGTACTCGGTAATATCCCTGGTCCACAATATTGTCAATTAAAGGCCTAATAACTTCTTGTCAGCATTACGTATCTAATAATATCAACAAATATTTTCATGTTATTATTTTACCAGAATTGTTGTTCATGTTACATTTATTAAGTAATGGTTTTATAGTAATTGCGCCATGTGTGGTAAAATCTCAAGCAAACATTTACAAAATATTCAGTTTTAAATAACTTAAAAAAAACGAAAGGTTCGGCCAAACCAACGCGATCACACGCGATCAGCCGGCGTGCAGCGATGGCGATTGATCGCCATCATCGCCTTAAGGTGGAAATCGAACCCGAGACCTTTCGTTTGCCGAGTCCTTTTGCTTATCCTACTAGGTAATGTGAACATTCCTACAACTAGTTTTGATTATACGAGTAACTTTCCTTTAAAGTTTTCATAAGTTTATTATTCTACCAATCATTCGGACAAATTGTGTGAAAATTCTCACTGCCTCTCAAACTGATAGTTTCCACTGTAGATATAGGATCTGGCTATAAATAGGCGTGTTATCAGAAATAGGTTTTAGTTGTTGCATGTAGCCTACTACCATGATGTCTCGGGTTGTGTGTATCGGACTGGGTCTCTTGGTTGTGTTAGGCTTCTTCGAAGTTGATGCAGGTACGAGTAAATAATAACATTTATAATTTAGATTAAATGACATCTAAATTCCTCTCTACATTCTTGAAATGTTGGTGTACCTATAAAATCCTTTCAAGCTAAATCCAAACCTATTTGTATTGTTTACGGACTCTCTCGTTTTATTTACCCTCCAACATAAATTATTCTTATCGTGCAACAACACTTACCTTACTCAAAGTGATCTTCATTTGTTTTTTATTCCAGCTCCTCATCACGGTGGTGGTAGCTTCAGCCAAGCCAGTGCTCAATCATCAAGCGGCGGCTTCGGCGGAGGTCCCGGTTTTGGCGGCCCTTCTGCCCGTGGCCCTAGCATAGGAGGTCCTGGCTTTGGAGGCCCAGGCTTTGGCGGCCCTTCTGCCCGAGGGTACAACTCTGGTGGTCCAGGATTTGGTGGCCCCCCTGCCAATTACGGACGCCCTGGCTTCGGTGGCTCTGGTGGAAGTGGACCTACTATCAATATCTCGAAGAGTGTCAGCATCAGCACAGGCGGTGGTAGTTCTCAATCGCAAGCCAGCTCGGCTGCAAGATCCGGTTGAAAGTGATTTTAAGACTTTATAAAATACTGTTCTTGTGATTTTTTATTGATTGAATAATGTTAATAGTTATGTTAATAGAATAGTTTTGGTTAATAAAGCTGGAAAATTGAAGTCATATTATAATAAAATGGTAAATAATTCCTATTTGTATACCTTTTATTTTTATATTCCTTTTCCTACTACTTCCACATCCAGACATGCTCTAACTTTTAAAGTCCATAGGGGAATGCTACTATGTTACAATCATTTTTGGAATTTTTACTATGTACTTTTATATTGAGAGGTATCCAAGTAAATCAGACGTAGATATTCCCAAATAATTAACTAAACATTTTAATAGGTTCTTTGATAACAAACAATACAATGTTAAATAAATCATCAAAATTATGCTAATTTATACGTAGATAACAAAAATCTTGAATTTCCTGCGCTACTAGATTTTGTCAGATAACAACAATTACTGATTTTTTGTCGGCCGATAGTTTAGTCGGGCAGTTGATCAGTATGGGCATGTATGGAAGTGCGCACATTACACCGATTTGAATATATGGCCGATTCTTCATACAATTTAAAATCGGGCACAACTATCGGCCAACTAAAAATCGGTGGTCTGCGCCTAGTCTAAAACCGGCATCCCCTTGCCTAATTTCTTTATCCCCAACGAGGAAGCTCTTGGCCTGCATCTGACCTGATGGAAAGTTCGAGAGGGTCGTGCTCCTACAGCGACTCAATGATAATATGATGATGATGATAATGATGATGATGATGATAATGATGATGATGATGATAATGATGATGATGATGATAATGATGATGATGATTTATTTATGTCCGTCCATGTTTAGGAATCTATTAGTCGTTTTTTTACATTATCCAATCAACATACTCACATACAAAATGTGAATTAAGTATTCACTATCTAAAAAGTAAAGTTAGACCAATTACAAACCACAATAAAGAATAAGAAATATCTTATTAATTTGATTAAAACTATTACCAGTTCAATTTAAGGTTCAACAAATAATTCCTGGGTACATTATTGACTGCGTAATACTGGTAATACTTAGTGTATTAGGAAAAGAAGGAAGTAAATAAATAAAAGGTATATCCTATGTACGTAGATGTCCTTTGCTTTTAATAACTCTAAAATGACATTATTTGTTTATCAACTATATTGGAAAACCCGAAGGCGTGTTCCGCGTATTTTCTGAGTCCTATGACCTGGGCGACTCTATTACTCGTAGCGATTATACTCATCTTATTCATTTGTGGAAGGCTGTAAACCTCTAGTAGATTCGAAATTACAGTTGTCTGTCTGTTTGCCTATTGTAGCATTTTCTTCTGATTGTTGCATAGATAACTAATTTGTCAATTGTAGAGTTAAGGTTTTTAAAAATTGATATGACTAGATACATTTTTATAACAATTATTTATTTATTTATTTATTATTCATTATTGAGCAATTACATATTTGATCCAAATAGCGTCCTAAATCCTTTTTAGGTTTGTTTAGACACTATTGTTCTCGCGAAATTGCGAAAGTTTATTACAATTGAGGAGGAATAATTATGAGAGAAGCCTTGATGAACCCATAGTATGTGCAAGGATGAAATAATAATAGTTTATTTGTTAAATTGAGATAAAATAAACGCACATATACTAACAACTCTAAAAAGCATCACTCCATCATGGCTTACAAAAAATCCCCAATTCCCCATAACAAAACAAACCACGAAAACAATCATAGTCCGCCTTAGCGAGTCCCCGCGAGAATCGATGTGTACATTGTCAGTTAGGCTCGAATTGGAAATGCCGACTGTTTACGTACCCACAGAGGCGCATATAAATAGTCAATATCATACGTTTGTCGGCATTGTTCACTGATAGCAAAGAATCGAATAACATAATGATAAAGGCGTTAGTGTGTGCAGGACTAGTTGTCCTGGTGATCCTCAGTCTGTTTGGAGTTGATGGAGGTGCGTACAATATTTTAGCTACATCTATTTCTTAATTTCCAAAAAAAATCTCAGTTTGGCTTTGAAATCCAACATGTTTTTTTTTTAATTCCTCTTTTTGAATGAAAACTTGCCAAAAAAATTATTTTAAACAAAACATTTTCAAAACTCAGTTGATTCTGACTGAAAAACTTCCAAAAAAACAAAAACAACAAATTCCAAATCTCATATTAATCAATTATTTTCTCTTTCCAGCTACCAGAGTAGCCCGATCACCTCAGTTTGGAGGGTTCAGTCAATCCCAGGCCCAGGCCTCGGCTGGCGCCTTCGGAGGCGGTGGAGGCTACGGCCCAGGCTACGGTGGTGGATTTGGCGGCGGCTTCGGTGGCCAGAACTATCGGCGCTTTGGAGGCGGCCCCGGTTTCGGCTATGGCCCAGGTGGCCCAGGATTCGGTGGTCCTGGATTTGGCAGCTATGGTGGACGCCCTGGCTTCGGTGGCTCTGGATTCGGTGGCGCTTTTGGTGGCCGCGGGATCGGTGGCGCTCCATCCATCAGCATTTCGAAGAGCATAAGCATCGGTGGTGGGGGATCAGGCGCTGCGCAGTCGCAAGCAAGTTCAAGTGCCGGTGGATTTGGGAAGTGAACAATGTGATATTACCTAGCTGTATAAGTACTTTGTTGTGAAGAGAACATGAAATTTTTTTAGGAACCACTAAATATGCAGTGAATGTTTAAATAATCTAGTTGATAATATTGCACTAGAGAAATAATAAATACATGATATAAAAATATCCTTTTACTACCTACCTAATATCCTTCGTAGCTTCTTCTTCTTCCTCGGTCCGTCACTGATGAGGATCGCGACCACATTTCGTGTTTTTCTTAAAATGTAACCCAATGTCGCTTGAACCTACAAAAGAAAATGTCCTTGTACCTATTATGATTGCTGAATCATAGCATTCATCTTTACATCTCTACATAGAAATCAAAGTTACTCTGTCTGTACTTTATGTTTTAAACTACACAATGAATTAATGTGGTTTCAACAATAGATAACGTAAGTGCGCCTATTAACGACCCCCCAAAATTTGTAGTCTATTACCGCCCTATTTTCCTTTCTTTCATGAAAGACATAATAACAGGTTCCAGAAAACACTTTACCTAAAAAATATCTAGATATGTTTATTGACTATCACAACGATTAAAGTTTGTGTTCGTAAATAACCAGTAAACGGAGTTATTTGACATTAAATGGGACGCGCCCGCAACGGGCGCACTTTTCATACTGACGCGCTCCCAGCTACTTAAGGTGCACCTTGTTATTAATTAGCGATTTTAACACATTTAAAATAAGTATACCAACACGTTTTTGCATAACAATATTAATTCGTACTTTAGTTTCCTTAATAAAACTTCAATATAGCCCTCTCGCTGTATTTTTGTCGCTTAAATACAATTTTAAATAAGGGCGGTAATAGAAACACTTTTAATAATTTGGTTCCTAATAACGACCCATGGCGTTGTTAGAATTTTGATAACGTTTTTTATTTTAGTATTTATATCTTTAATTACGCATTTAACCTCCATTTTGTTATCTTTATCGATTCATAAGAATATTTCACATAATTAAATCAATTAACGCCATATGTTAACTGTCATAGGTTTGGAATAAAACTGCAATGAACATTAAAGAATATCTCTAATAATGTATGACAATAGATTTTATAAAAACCTGTTAAATTCTAATTAGTACCTATTTGATATAAAATAAAACCTAATAAAAATGGCACTTCACTGATCACGTCTTCATTAAAGTAGATATTTTAGCTGGTTACTGTTTTTTTTTACGGTCGCTAATAGAATAAAGTAATATTCATACTTAATTCTATTACCGCCTCATAACTATAACGCCACCTGCGAAGACTTATAAGCCTGTATTTTGTATATAACTAACATTTATGACATGACACCTAACCAATCATGCGTTATCACAACTACTATGTAACTTTTTAAGATCTTTTGGATTAATAAAAAAAAATTAAAATAATTATATAGACATTGTCCAATTGTCCATAGTTTAAATTAAAATACACAATTAAAATCAATCAAAAACTAATTAAAAGTTATAATAGTCAAATTAAAAATAGAAATAAAATATTAAATGAAAATTAAATTTTATTAAATAATGACCCCCACTACTCACTAGAACACCGGGTACCGTGTAATCAAGTATAATAGAGGAATTTATTATTTTACTATTTCTGCTTGATTATTTATTTGTTTTCGAGAAGCATGCCTTTTCTCTTTTAATAATTAAAAAAAATAACAAAAAAAAAACAAATTTAACTAAAACTAAAAGCAAAACAAATTTAACTTGAAAAAATCAAGTGGTTCCCGAGCCTGTGAGCGGGAATCGAACCCGTGCCTCTTGGAATATACCCAATTGAAGAGCAATATTCTTAGCGGTCGGTAATAGAAACAGAAAAAACGTTAATAGAAACACACCTCGTCTATAGGTCGGTAATAGAAACAACTGCTTTTTCAGATTAAATTGCTATTTATTAATTATTGTGTGATTGTATACTCATTGTTACTACTTGAATTCAAAGATTACTTCATCATTGTTATAAATAAATTAAAGTGTCTTTTCTATCACCACGTCTTATATCTAATTTTCTAACGTTTATCCGAAGACAGCTTAAACTGGCGGTAATAGGCGCATTTACGTTAGAATGATTCAAGAGGAAGGTTTTACACATAGTAATACCCATGCGAATCCGGTGCGTTTAACTATTTTTTTTTAGATAGACAACCTTAACCATGTCATTAATGCGATGTAGACCGTATGGAATTATATTATAGGTATTTTTATCCATAACAAGGTAGCCTTGGCCTGTATATCAAGCAAAGTGATGATCAAGCCTCGAGCTCGAGATGTATTAAACTTTTCAATAAATTACCACAAACTGTTGTAGAATTGCCCATTCATAAATTTAAAGCACATATCAAAAGCACCTTAATGAAAAAGGGCTACTATAAAGTTGAAGATTATATAAAGGAATAAAAATGTTTGGAATGTTTAACTACCTAGCTCGCATTAATACTTATGACTATAATTTGTATATTTTAAAGACTGTAAAACCTTGAAAAGGAGGCTGACAATAGTGACTGAGTTTCTTGCGCTGCTTCTTCTCAGGCCCATTTATTGTCCCGAAGCAGTGGTAGGGTTAATATTGGGACGTGTAAAAGCGCTTTTTTAAAGCCTATTTGCAAAAATAAATGAATTTTATGAATTTTTTAATTTAGCTTCACACAGAATCCTCAATCACAAAAAAATTTGAAGACACATCAACAATTTGTTATGAATTCACGAACCCAAAAACATAATTATAAGGAGTAGTACTCAGCAGTACAGTAGTCAGTAGTGTAAAAAGTTGGCAACTATTCACTCTGGTTACTTATTGGTTGTTTTTGTAAAAATAATTTGAATAAGTACTAGTCATAATATTTTATGAGATCAAAGTTACATGAAATAGATAGATAAATAAAGAATAGGATAGAAAACCACTCGACAAACATTTAACTAACACAAAACAACACAATAGACAATAAACATAAACAACAAATAAAGACAGATAGACGGACAAAAATTTTACTGATTGCATTTTTGGCATCAGTATCGATCACTTATCACCCTGATAGTTATTTTCTAAATATATTTCATGTACAGAATTGACATCTTTACAGATTTATTATAAGTGTAGATCATTAATCTGCCCATTGCTTCATCTTGCTTGTACTCTAGGCTATGTCAGCGATTTCAGTTCGTTTACGGATCTCCTCATTCCTAATTTGATCTCGTGAAGAAACAATGAGTAATCTGGAAATCATTGTCCCCCAATTGGCCTTTGTTCTCATCAGTGGACGTCATGGCTGATATGATGATGAGTATGATGATCATGAAATCTGTATAAATATTTCTTTTCCTATTTTCGAAACCTATCCATAAAATTAAACCGACTGCACTCTCCGATTTCTTGTAACTTATAAAATATTTTAACAAACTTCAGTCGAATATGCTTACTTAGGTGTTATTGAAACTGTAATGAATAATGATGATAATAAAAATTACCTACAGGACAGGTGAATTATCAATTGAAGGCTAGTGCATAGCCAAAAAGCACTAATGCAATTTTATTCTCAGAAATCAAACCTATTTTTAATGTCAATATGAGATCATAAATCATAATCTTGGTCTTTACCACGGCTCTTATGCATAATTTGTATGAACAGTCCAACTCTAATACAACCGTGTGAATTTCCTCCGCGACTGTTTGCGTTTCCAATTTGATTGCACTATTGGTTAGTTGTTGCTATTCGAAGAAGTGTTTTTGACACAATCTGGTTTACTATAAATGTAAGAGCTAGTTATTCCAATAGCCAGAACGATACAGATACCACGACGAGATGGCAAAACTAATCATTATTTTGGCAGTCATCGCCACAGCTTACAGCGCTGTGATTAAAAATGAAGGTACGAGTGCACAGTTTAAGTTTTCTATGTACTCTTATTATGTTCTATTCAAATTTTGATTGTAGCTGTAGGATCAAATAGAACTTAAATCTTATTTTATTCAGTTACATTTTAGCAATAAAGAATAAGTTTCTACAACCTTTCCTATTTCATGAGAGAGTCACATAATATCCTAAAGAAGTAAACAAACAACCCAAAGATACTCTTTTCCCTAAAAGACTAAGGTCGTGCTTAATTATATGAAATTGTGTTTCAAATGTCTAATTAAAATTAACTTTCGTTTCAGATATCCCACTGCAGAGGGTAGCGCGATCACCTTGCAGCACATGCGGTCCTCCACCACCACCTGGTCCCCCGCCACCACCTCCTCCTCCGCCTGGTGTACCACCACCACCCCCACCAATACTCCGCACCCAAAACTGGAGTGGATTAGCTAGAAGCTCTGACGGTCTTCAAAACGCTGTCTTTAGCGGCGCAGCTGCAGCAGCCATACCAAGCCCCTTAGCTTCTGGCGAAGCGTTCTCATTAGCATCAAGCTCAGCTGGTTCAGGAGTTGACGGATCGGCCAATTCTGGATCTGGCTCTGGTAGTGGATCAAATGGAGTTGGATTTGGTACCTCAAATAGGGCTGGTTTTGCCAAATCTGGAGGTGTGAAGGGTGATTTCTCTGCTGGTGGATACGCTGGCGGTAACAAAGTGGTTAGCGGAGGATTCAAAGAATCTCACTATTCATATCATTCTGGAGGTAGTAAAGATTTTAACAGTCAAGGGCTTCAGCAAGATAGTCAAACAGGGGAATCAAGCTCCTCGTCATCGTCAGCGCAAGGTGGATCATTCGGAGGCAATTACGGCGGTGGTAATGGCGGACATTCTGGAGCATTTGGAGGTCGAGGAGATGGTGACGTAGAGGGAATACAAAGCCATCAATACAAAGGTGGTTTTTCAAGCGGCAAGGATAATGGACAATTTGGAAACCATGGAGGTTTCCTCCAACAGACGAATCAACAATATGGGGCAGGACATACTGAAGACTTTGGTAATGCTGCATCTTCGGCCCAGAGTTCATCGTTCGGTGGCAATGGACAAAATGGATTTTCATCTGAAAGTCAGCGAGAAGGGGCTTCATCATTTGGAGGAAATAACGGAGGAAACGGGCACTTTGGATCCGGACATCATTATGAAGTTCAGAACAGCGGCGTTTCTGGCAGGTACAGCAGTGGAGCAGGCCAAGGTAACTTTGACTCTGGATTTTCTTCTCAAGGTTCACAAGGTCAAGGCCGAGGATTTGATGCGTCTGAAGCTCAAAGCAGTTCTGGTGCTCAAGGAGGATTTGGAGTGGGTGGAAATCAAGGAAACTCTCAAGTTTCTGGCTTGGGTGGTGGCTTCGGACAAGGTGCTGCATCTGGGTCTCTTGCAGCCCAAGGAGGATACTCAGGGGGAGCGGGTGCTGATGCTTCGTCCGCGCTTAGTGGGGCCCTGAACTTGGCATCTCAAGGTTTACAGACGGCTGGTCAAGCCAGTTGCTCTACTTGCGGCAAGAGTAGTTACGCCCTTAGCAACGCCAAGAGTCACAGTGGATCTGCGGTAGCCATTTCTGTTGGAGGTTAAAGTAACGAAAGATAATGAAAGAAAATTATTTTTGGAATTTGTGAACAGCTATGGAAACGATTGACCTAAGTTATTAATATTAATAAATTGCTTGTTAAATAAATGAATTTGTTAACATTTTGATTTCTTATTTTATTTTTTATACCTAAAATTCATAAAAAATTCATAAAATTCATTTATTTTTGCAAATAGGCTTTAAAAAAGCGCTTTTACACGTCCCAATATTAACCCTACCACTGCTTCGGGACAATAAATGGGCCAGTGCTGAGAAGAAGCAGCGCAAGAAACTCAGTCACTATTGTCAGCCTCCTTTTCAAGGTTTTACAGTCTTTAAAATATACAAATTATAGTCATAAGTATTAATGCGAGCTAGGTAGTTAAACATTCCAAACATTTTTATCCTTTATATAATCATCAACTTTATAGTAGCCCTTTTTCATTAAGGTGCTTTTGATATGTGCTTTAAATTTATGAATGGGCAATTCTACAATAGTTTGTGGTAATTTATTGAAAAGTTTAATACATTTCCCCATAAATGAATTACCAATCTTGTGCAGTCTGAAATTTGGAACGGCAAGTTTATTTTTGTTTCTTGTATTGAACTTGTGTAAATCACTCTTTCTAGTAAATTGCTCTATATTTTTGCGAACATATAAAAGGTTTTCATAAATGAACTGTGAAGCTACTGTCAGTATATTAATCTCCTTAAAGAATTCTCTCAAGGAAAATCGGGGTCCAAGGTTATAAATGGCCCGCACTGCTCTCTTCTGCAGAACGAACACAGTTTCAATGTCCGCAGCTGAGCCCCACAACAATATGCCGTATGACATTACTTAATTCTTATTTAATTCTGATTATTTCACTATAAACAAAAATAAATAGAATGTGATCCAGGTTCGATTCCTGGTTCTTTGTGATTCCTAAACCTAACTAATAAATATTGTCGCTTAGATACCCTCCAGGCTCTACTCCACCGAATTCATTAAATTAACAAAATACATTTTAAACAACATCTAACATTCTAACTAATTATACCCAATTAGAACCCATAAAATAAATTCAAGAAAAATGGTTTATTAGTTAGTAGTGGCGTGAAAATTATTACAATAGGCTAGTTTCCTAAAAAAATTTTTTTAGTCCGTCATGTTTAATATCAAAAAATATTGAACACATATTTTTATTTGTCAATCTAACAAATAATTACGTAGTTATGGTGCGTTGAAGTTCCGCACGACGTCACAACGTGCGGCACTTTTATGCAAGCATTGACGTCACGGGCCTCTTCTTATGAACTTTGGCGCGCTTTATCTCTTTAAATTTTCATTATTTGAAAAAGTGAAAAATACGTATAGAGTATTTTTTGATAAGTTAACTGACGGACTAATTAAAACTCTTGCTTTTTGACCCAGGAAACATCCCTATTACTAGAAATATATTTTAAAATAGGTATTTAATTATTTACAATCACATAAGTTGATGTAATTCTTAAAAGTAAGCTTCAAAACACCAATTTGTTTAATAAATTGCAAAAACGAAACTATGGAGTGTAGTGCACGAATTGCCTTGAACCACAGCTTGAACAGAATATCTAATTTGAACGCAGTCCTACGTTCGATTTCTAGTAAAGACAATTTAAAATATGTAACTAAATAATTACTTTTTGGTAACATACTCGTATCACATAAAACACAAGTGATTAACTATCCCACGCATTACAATAAATACTTGTCTGAAAAGGATATTTGCGGGTATCATGCATGCGGGGCAATCCCGCGTCCGTGATAAATCCGTACTAATTCTAGAATGCGATAGTTATGGAACCACATACCTACCTAATTTATTTCTAGTTGATTTTATTGACTTATGACTATGATTTGAAATAAATAGGCCCTAGGTACGATTGCTATAATCATTTATTTTATGAAGACGATAATAAAGATACAGACATGTATCAGCATTAAGTTTAACGCAATAAAGCCCCTACGACTAATGGCAGTTTAATTACGGGTTTACAACAGAATCAAATCCGGGTAGAGCCAATATGTATTACCTATAGGTATTCTTAATACTTCTTAAACATATAACTTAAATATTAAGGTATTACTGATACTAATGATTTCACGTCAACGTTGAAGGAGACTTTTTCTTTTCAGGAGTATGTATCAATTTCCTTAGCCTAAGCTCTTTGACGCATGATATGATAATATGAAGAGTCATTAGATAATTTATTTTTTAGATGATAATTAGTAAGTATAATAATATGTCGTCCACGATGAAATGTAGAGCAAGAAAAAGATGAAAATTAGTAATTTTTGCAATGAATGAATACAGTACAAACGACAGCATTAGACAGATAGTACTATTATACATTTTTGGTGCAAATTCGCCTCTATAACAACTAGGCATGTAAGATGTTACAGTGTTCGGCTAGACACGTGCAGTAGTCTGTACATAATAGCATATTACCCACACAGCACACACATAAATTGATCATTTTTCAGGTCCAAATCAATAGCTAAACACACTTGGAGGCGTATTTTTTTAAGTATTCTCAAAGTCTTTCGCCTTCGATATTATAATACCTACTTTGTTTATCTACATTTCAAGTTGCATGAAACTTTGTTTAAATTAGTATTTATTCTAATACTAGCTTTCCGCCCGCGGCTTCGCCCGCTTGGTATTTTGTCTGTCACAGAAAAACTATATCGCGCGAGTCCCTGTCTCAAAAACCGGGATAGAAACTATCCTATGTCCTTTCTCGGGACTCAAACTATCTCTATGCCAAATTTCATCAAAATCGGTTCTGTGGTTTAGGCGTGAAAGAGAGACAGACAGACAGAGTTACTTTCGCATTTATAATATTAGTATAGATTAGTATAGATTGAGAATTATACGTATTGGAAAATTCAAAAAAAACATACGGTTCCCATGGTAGGTATCTAATAAAATGCTAGAGAGCTAGTGAGACTCAACAATTTTTATACCTAGCTTTCTAAATAAGGATATGTTTTTACATTTCTTAATAACCAAATAAACAATAGACGTAGATACACAGGAAACATGACATAATTCACGCGAGAGTTCTAAAGATATAACAAGAACAAGAAGTGGAAGTGGAAAACTTGAGAATTTTCCATTTAGCATAGATCAGCAAAGTGCCAATTGTCATAATTTTCGCCAAACTCTCCCTTACACCACAACAACATTATAAGCACATTAAATCTCCACTCGAGTCGTGCTCCTGAAGAAGAGGTACAAAAATTTGGGTTACACTCCCCAAGCTGGTCCAGTGTCCCCAGTACCTCCCCATATGATCGAAATTTGTCTCTTAGACCCCGTAATGACATTCACGGGATAGTAGAGGGTGGTCCTATTCTACTAGACCGAAATCATATAGACACGAGTAGATGTCATGATGTGCAAATAATTCTACTGTTAATGATAAATAATAATTAGGCATCAAATGAAAATGTGGTTGACTTGCGAAAATTGTGGTTAGTTCCAATTCCGCGTTGGATTTAACCGTGAAAAACCAAAGTTGTGTCCGCAAACTATACAAACTATATTTTGGCACCTCGCTCTTGAATACTTATTCAATTATCGTCTAGCTAGTGACATAATAGTTTATTCTCAGTATTTTTGAATTCACACACTATGTTTAAACGCCAAGCATATAAATGTATCATTTGATGGAAAACATTCAGATCAGAACGGAAAAATGTGGCGAGTAGGCGTTTTAATAATATTATCTATAGTTTTCGCCAGCGAAGCGGCTTCAGAGTACCAATGTAAGTAGATAGTGTGAAATTAATGTGGATTAATTTATTAATTCTATTTACTGTTTAGTGGCAAAATTGGTATTGGTATTTTTTTTTAATACAAGAATATAAACGACCCGATATTTAGCAAACCTTAAACACAAAAGTTTACACATTTTCCACTCACTAATTAAAAATAATGTGTGTTTGAAAGGTAATTTTAAAGATACTAAGAGCCACTCCTTTATTTTTACACGTTTTCATCGATGATTGAACTTTGTGATTTCTATTTCAGATGGCAAGCAGCTTCAGAGAATAAAGCGCTCCCCACACTACGACTGCCCGCCTTATTACCCGCCTCCACCGCCGCCGCCACCACCACCTCCCTTCTGGCCACCCCCTCCCCCTTACCACCACCGTCACCACTTCGGACCACCTCCTTACTGGCCACCACCGCCACCGCCACCACCAGAAGAGCCACCACAACCTCAGCAAGCCGTTAGCCAAGCAGAGAGCTCAGCCAAGTCTGCAGCGCTTACTCAACAGTCCAATCTGAACCAAATCCAAGGTGGAGGCAACCCTCCATGTGACACTTGCGGTGGTAACCAAAACTCGGCGGTTAGTAACTCACAGAGTGACTCGGGAACGGCCATATCTATTGCAATTTCTTCTGGCAAAAATGGCGGAAAGTAGATTGTGTTGTTTATATTATCGAAATGGTAAGGTTCTAAAAATGATGGAGTTTTAATTTTAATCTTTAGTTTGTAATATTACTGTCGTTGTATGTTGTTATGATCTGAAATTAATGTAAGCAATAAAAAGTAAAAACTGTATCTGTCTTTTATTGATTTCATATGTCTCTATGTTTTTTAAACCATATTAATAGCGACATTAATTAGTAAAGGGAACAAATTAGCGTTGTATAATTACAACAGGTGAAATAGAATGAAGTTTAGCATTTTAGGTATACCTACTTGTAATGTAACATTTTGTAGCAAATAATATTAATTAACTTTGGTACCAATATTATATAGCTTAAGCTATTATATCAAAAAAGTACAAATTATTAGACAGATGGCTATAAATAAGTGACTTCTCCCACCCAGCATCAAAGCTAGCGTCTCATGTTTGGATCCTGTAAAACATCACAGAATAGTAAATGAAACCAGACACTTCGGTTGCAATACAGCTCCTATTGCTACTGCACAAAATACCACAGTGCAAAGCTCGATGTGCCATCGCAAATACACGATTTACCTTACACTCGAGGTTTAATTTATTCCGTTAGATACACACGAGTTTGGGAACCGGATAATGGGTGCCGGTCATCAAATTTTAATTAAATCTAAAATGTAGTAATAAATCCTAATTTTCGATTATTCTGCCTATACAGGTATGCGTGTGCAGACATATCTTCAAATTCTTTTCACCGTTACTGAACGCTTTTGTCTGTAGGTATCTGTGCAGTCATTTGTTAGGATACTAGCAATAGCTCACGGCTTTGTCAGTAATATCTATTTAAAATAAAAAAGACGCTGATTGTTATGAAACATCATGAAAACTGTAGGTTTGGTAGTACTAGGAGAGTGTGTTTCCATATAGCTGCGAGCAATATTGGTTTGCGTACGAGTATTTTACGCATAGCGTCACGGACTTCCAGACTTTTCAGTGTAAGTTCTGTTTCATTTGGGGGAAGGTAATCGATGTAGTAGATAGACAAATAATCGGTTCAAAAACCGTTGATGACCAACCATGATTTCAGAAGTAAATAATATAGAGCTATATTTTTTTTTACCAAACAGACCAACATTTTTACATCTTAATAATATAAGAAGTATAGATGAGTTACATGAAGTGTTAATGTAGCAACAATAGATCCCATTGTGTCCGGTGTCTGCGGTGTCGGACTCCGTTACTTGAAAGTACATTATTATCTGTTTTTTGTTCTATGTCTGACGAAGTGATAAATTCGATTTAGTTAATTTAAGTCATTTGTCTTATTGCTAGGCAATAGCAAAAAATATTTTTGAGTAAGTCTAAGACTCATTACATTAAAAAATTGAAACATGGTAATGTAACAAATGACAGGTATTTGACCACAATCGCACCTGATGTTAAGTGGGATGCAGTCTAGGATGGTACATATCTGCCCTGTAAGTGCCTATTCACTCTCGCCTTGAAAAGGCCCGGATTATTGTCTTCGGGAAAGACAGCAGCAGGCTACGAATTCCAGTCTCTAGCTGTTCGCATTATAAAAGAATCAACGAAACGCTTAGTACGAGCTGGTGGAAAGTCAACAATATAGGGATGGTACGCTAACCTGCGTCTGGTTCCCCGATGATGGAAGACATGGACAAGCAAATCAAAGTTAATTAACTCTGTATAAGCAATAAAAACAAAAGTATCTAAATATTTCTGAAATCCATGTAGAGTAGAGGGTAGACACCCTCTCGTAATGAGACCATTAGGATTAAAAAAAACTTCCTGCTACGAGATGAATTTAAAAATAAAAAATGGTCCCTTACTACTATTAATTACAAACCGTTTGTTCTTATTACGTAAATCAGAGTATCAGCAATGGTACCTAATCATGTCTTGATTAATATTTACATATTAATGATTTATGATGGATGGAATAAATGTCTACATTAAGGCGATTAGAGTCCTCAATGACCTTGGGCGTTTGACCTTCACGCCGCGAGCAACACCCGCGCACCCCGCACCAAAAACTCCGATTTGACACCGATCAAAAATACACGGGCATAGGTA